AGAAGAAAGAGAAGGAGAAAGGTGATATGCCCGACAAGCCCAGTGCTCCCGTAGTTCACATCCACATCCTGGTAAGGGAAAAGGAAGAGGCGGACGATCGAATTCGCCATCAGGTGACAAGCGCCCATGCTACTTCTATCTTGTCAAGAGGGATTGTAGGAATGGGAAGAATTGCCCGTTCGCGCATGATACCAAGCTCAGAGAACAGGCTGAGAAGATGGGACCGCCGCGTTCCAGGAGTGCTTCGCCCAAGGGTAGGGGAGATAGGGCGTGCAGGGATTTTCAAAAGGGAAACTGTAGTCGGGGTGATAAGTGTCCTTACTCGCGTAAGGTAGACAAACCGGCTGCTCCTGCAATTAAGGTTGCAGTTACGTCAGCTACGGTACCAAAGCAGAAGAAGAGTGTTAGCTTTTCTACTGTAATCAACACCATGACCTTCGTCATTCCTGTCAAGAGTGGATCGCGATGGAGGACCCCCAAGGATCCGTATCAAAGGCATCGTAACCCCAGGTTATGTGATCCCTCCTTCCTTAAGAGTCCAGATCGCATCGAGAACATCAAGGCGCAAACTGAGGCTGCCATTGCTGCTGGAGAGCTTCTACATGAGGTCGCCTCTAGAAGATGATTCAAGAGTAAGAAGGCCTGGGCAGGACCTGGGATGACCTGGGTTGTCCAGTACAAAAAGGAGAGCGACAGCGTAGTGCATGATATCGTCATGTCTGAGTTCAAAAGCGAGCATAGAGCTCTTGCCTCCGTGTCGGAAGATAACTCTGGGGATGAGGAGAGTAACAGGGACAACGACCATGTGGGCCACCAATGGATTATGGATACGGGGTGTGGGTCAGATTTGATTTCCAAGGCCAAGGTTGAAGATCACAATCTACGGGGATCGAAGGCAAAGAACCCCATTCAGTTCCAGACTGCAAATGGCAACACTAAAGGGTTGGATGTGGTTACCATGAACATCGTTGAGTTTGATGAGAGCGTTGAACCGTATGTTCTTCCTGACACCCCCTCTGTTCTTTCTATTGGAAGGAGATGTATGCAAGAGGGATACCATTTCGTTTGGTTGTCAGGCAAGCATCCGTACCTCATAACCCCCAGTGGTAAACTCGTTGCCCTTGCTGTTGAGGATGACATTCCCTGTCATATTTCCGGAGATCCCAGGTGCCAACCGGTTGAGCCCACGCATGAGTTGTCTATTCCGTGCTTGATAGAGCATCTTCGGAGCACTGTAGACGACGAACATAAGCCAGCCGTGCCGGCAGAACATAAGGATCCTGCAGATGAAATGATTGAGGACGCCATAAGATCCATTGATGCAGATGAAAGAGGCGCTGAACCTCCAGTCTCGGGAATCCCGGCTGGGGAACAGGATAAGGACATAGCTGAGCGAAGTGAGTCCGAAGATGTAGCGCTAGAAGAGGATCCGGGCGTGGTCTTAGTTGATGAGGCAATGGAGCACCGGTGAAAGTTCCCAAGAGAAAGCTGAAAGATGAGGCGGTGTCAACGGCGCATTTAATCTCTCATCGCTTTAAGAACCCCTACTGTCAGGCCTGCGTTCGGGGTAAGATGAGACACTTGTACACTAAGAAAGGAGCCTTTCAGGTAGAGTTGAAAGAATGGGGTGACGTTGTGACGCTAGATTTTGTGTTTCCCGAAGACCAAATGGATGATGACTTTGTCATGAAGATGCTCACCGTGAAAGACGTCTATACTAATTTCATTGGTGCGTATCCGGTAGACACGAGATCTGAAGTCAACGTCAGGAATTCCCTCGAGTTCTTCATGGGCGATAGAAAGATCAAACTGTTGTGTGGAGACAACGCTGAGGAATTTGAGAAAGCCGCTAATTCGATGGAAATCCCATTCGACAACTCTGTCCCTAACCGCAAGCAAACCAATGCCATTGTTGAAAGGACTAATCTTTACCTTGAGGCTCAAGTCGCCACGTGCTTGGTTGCTGCGGGTCTTCCTCCGTGCTATTGGGAATTTGCGTTGCGATGCTACGCTCTCCTTCACAACACTGAGAAAGTTAATGGGTAATCTCCAGGTAATCTCCATGGGAGTTGACCTTTGGGGAAGAGTTTCAAGGAAAACGCATCCCCTTTGGTGCCCTAGTGAACTTTAAACCTACCTCTTCGAGGAAGCTCAGCACCAAGTTTGGCCCAGATGCGGTTACAGGAGTCTTCGCCGGATACGTCACGACCGCAGGCGAAAGTTGGAGAAGAGAGTATTTGGCGTGGCCCTTGGTAGATTTCAAGGATGCTGACCTATCTATAGACTGTGAGATGGTACCAAGACAACTTAGGGAACCTATTGTCGCTGAACGCATCTCGCTTGTAGCCAACAAGATCACTTTTCCTCTTAAGAACGAGTACGAGAGGGTCAACGCCGCACTTGAGGGGATAAAGGATATTGCTTCCACCCGTGAGGGTCCCGAAGTTCTCGAAATGGTGGATGTTGACACCCCCAAGCCACGTCTTCATTATGTTTCCGAAGGTTACCTGCGTTACTCTGAAGGTACGGCGGCACGGCGGGTGATGGTAATATTTATGTTGACGATGATGGGTACAATGTCAAACTTGACAAACTCGGTCGGCGCTATAGGGTCAGATCCGATGGGGTCAGAGAAGTTCCCGCATCAAGACCTTTGGGAATTCCTCCAGAAGCTTGGGCTCGCATGAGTGAACGAGAGAAGGAGGAAGCAATCCGAACCAGGGATGCTGTTGAACGGAAAAGCAAGGCCAAAGCGGCCTCCAAAGCTGCGCCGAAGACAAAGGTCGAGGGCGAAGCTGCAGGGGGCGATGCTCCGATTGAGTCCGAAGAGAATGAATTTGAGGGATATTCACCTGATGCTGAACCCTCAGGATTCCCCTTAGACCCCGAAGCCGAGGAAGTTGAGCGGTACGCGCGGGAGAGGGGGGTTGAGTCGGATACGGAGACCGAGGCTGAACCCGCAGCACCTGGCGTAGAGGTGGAGATAGACCATGATAATGACTATCAGTTCTATCATGATGGCTTTGAAGTTCCGGAATGGGAAGAAATTGCCTCAGAAGGGAT